GGAACCACCAGGAATACTGGGAATAGTAGTTCTGGTGGCAGCCCCTGGACAGGAAGCAGAAGCTGAGAGCACAGGGAGCACCAGGAATGCTGAGAATCATGGTTCTGGTGGCAGACACATTGCGTGATCTCCTAGACCAGTGGTTGGCAAACTGTGGCTCAGCAAACCGCAGCTCGCGAGCCACATGCAGCTCTTTGGCCCCTTGAGTGTGCCTCTTTCACAAAATACCAGCTCTTCCACAAAATACTGACTTCTGCACATGGGCCACCAAGTTTCAATCGCACTGTACGTGCGTGCCTGCACGTGGTGTTTTGTGGAAGAGCCACACTCAAGGGGCCAAAGAGCTGCATGTGGCTCATGAGCCGTGGTTTGCCAGCCACGGTCCTAGACACTAGAGCAAAGTGAGCCTGGAGCAAGATACTGTTGTGGGCTGGGGATGGAGGGAAAGCAAAGGTGAGAGACATAAGTCAGAGTGTCGAGGAAAAATTAAAAGGAAGATATCCTGCAACTTCTAGGAAATCTCCACTAATGGAGCAAAGAAAAAAAAAAGAGCTCTATTATTCTGTGAGCACCAAACCAGACTTGGCTGGGGTCTCACACAATTCACTCATATGGTTGCAAAGACAGACAGAAACTTCACTCTTTCATGTACCCAGGCAGATACAATGCACAACATGCATGTTTTCATGGAAGCGGACTTAACAGCACCAATTGCTTTACACCCTTTGGTAAGTCACCTTTTGATGGCCATCTGTGTTAGTTAATTGCCATAACCAAGAGTAAAAAAAAAAATGAAACTTTTCTATCTCTATGATAAGCAGGCTCTTACAACTTGGAGCAAGGCAACTATCTATGATAATAAAAGTGTAATATAAGGGGCAATGAGGCAGGCAGACAGAGGCAGTTAGGGGTGAACAGGCAGGTGAGCAGTTAGGAGCAATCAGGCAGGCAGGCAGAGTGGTCAGGGGCAATCAGGCAGGCAGGTGAGTGGTTAGGGGTGATCACTCAGGCAGGCAGAGGCATTTAGGGGTGATTAGGCAGGCATGCAGAGTGGTTAGGGCTGATCAGGCAGGCAGGCAGAGGCAATTAGGGGCGATGAGGCAGGCAGGCAAGCAGTTAGGGGCAATGACGCAGGCAAGCAGAGTGGTTAGGGGCGATCAATCAGGCTGGCAGGCAAGCAGTTAAGAGCCAGCAGTCCCAGATTGTTAGAGGGTGCAAGCAGGGCTAAAGGACCACCCCCCCCCCACCATGCACCAATTTCATGCACCAGGCCTCTAGTCAATAATAACCATAAACTGAAATGGATTAAATACTCCAATAAAAAAGCATAGGTTAGCTGAATGGATAAGAAAACAGGACCCATATATATGCTGTCTACAAGAGACCCAGCTCAGAGCAAAGGACTCACAAAGACTAAAAGTGAAGGGATGGGAAAAAAATTTTTAGGCAAACAGAAATGAAAAAAAAAAAAGCTGAAGTAGCAACACTTATATCTGACAAAATAGACCTCAAAGTGAAGGCCATAACAAGAGATAAGGAAGGCCACTTCATAATACTAAAGGGATCGATACCCCAAGAGGATATAACTCTGGTAAACAAATATGCACCCAATGCAGGAGCACCCACATACATTAAAAAAATACTCTTGAAGATATCAAGGAAGAGTTGACAGCAATACAATCATAGTAGGGAACTTTAATACCCTATTGACATCACTGGATAAATCTTCTAGACAAAAAAAAAAATCAACAAAGAAACAGCAATCCAAAATGACTCTCTAGATCAGATAGAACTAATTGACATGTTCAGAACATTTCACCCAGAAGCAATGGATTCTTCTCAAGTGCACATGGGACGTTGTCAAAGATAGACCACATATTAGGAAACAGGCTAAGTCTCTACAAATTCAAGAAGATTGAAATTATATCAAGCATCTTCTCAGATCATAATGGCATAAAATTAGAAATCAACTACAGTAAAAACAATGAAAAAATATCAAACACTTGGAGGCTAAATAGCATACTATTAAACAATGACTGGGTTAAGAAAGAGAGCATTCTGGAAACAAATGACAATGAAAACACAATAATCCAAAATCTATGGACACAGTGAAAGCAGTCCTGAGAGGGAAGTTCATAGCTCTACAGTCCTACCTCAATAAACAAGAAAAACTGCAAATAAATTATCTAACCCTACAATTTAAAAAATTAGAAAGAGAAGAACAAGAAAAGCCTAGAGTAAACAGAAGGAAATAATAAAGATCAAATAGGAGCCCTACCTGGCTTGGTTCAATGGATAGAACATCAGCCTGCACAATAAAGGGTTGCAAGTTCGATTCCAGCCAAAAGCATATGGCTGGGTTGTGGGCTCGATCGCCAGTAGGGGACATGCAGAAGGCACACACCAATGATTCTCTCTCATCATTCATGTTTCTATGTCTCTCTCCCTTTCTGTCTGAAATCAAAGAGCTGGTTCTTTGAAAGGATAAGCAAGGTTGATGAACCGCTAACCAGTCTCAGCAAGAAACAAAGAGAGAGGACCCAAATAAACAAAATCAGATGTGAAAAAGGTGACCTAACAACCAATCCCACAGACATACAAAGAATTATTTAAAAAAATACAATGAACAACCTTATAATTTGTAAACATTATAATTTCATGTCATCATAGTAACTATCAGAGTTTTCACCCTGTTTCTAGGAAAGAACTCTAAGGCTTCTGTATTTTGAGGATTTTGCTAGGCTGACACAGCAGATAAAATCAGAAGCAGTGCTGAGTACTTGGTTATTTGATTACAAAGTCCGTCTTTCCTGTACTTTGCCTCTCTGGGCTCTGCCTTGTTGGGAAGCATCTTTAATGACTGTGATGGTGGAGGTCTTGGCCTTTGGAGTAGAAGCTTCAATGCTTCATAAGCAGGGCTGTATCGGGGAAAAGTAGCTGGAAGTCAGAACTAAAGAATTTGAAAATATACAGGTTTTTAGAGACTGTTATAAATGTTAATTACAACAGACCTGAGTAGTGTCTAAATAATGTTAATATATTTTTATTGATTTCAGAGAGGAAGGGAGAGGGAGAGAGAGAGACAGAAACATCAATGATGAGAGAGAAGCATTGATTGGCTGCCTCCTGTACACCCCTCACTGGGGATGGAGCCTGCAACTCCAGCATGTGCCCTGACTGGAAATCTAACCGTGACCTCCTGGTTTATAGGTCTACACTCAACCACTGAACCATGCCAGCCAGGCTCAAGTAGAATCTCTTGGTTTGCAACAGCAGGCCCCGCAGAAAGTGATCAGGCCACCTATAGGTTCAAATTTCTATCCTAATTATTTCAGTGCACTGGATTCTGAATCCACGCAGAAGGAGACCTCTCCCCAACAAAGATTCATGGCTTGCCTCGTGAAATTTTATCTCTGCCACTTACCAGCTGTGTGAGCCTGGGCACCTCACCTCTCTGCTTCAAGGTCCTCCTGATAAAATAGGGCAGGTATTAGAGCATGGCAGGTATATTTAAGGAGTCCTAGGAATTCATTCCAAGTGCAGTATGTGTATATCCTCACAACAACCTAATGGGGTGCAGTCAATGCCCCCAGCCAAAGGCCATGGGGAGCACACCTGGGGGTGAACAAGCTGTTGTTGTGTCATCGCAGTGAGGGAGACACTCACTTTGGGGAATTGTGAGGCATCTCAGTAAGAGAGTGTTGGAATTAAAAAAGCAGAATCAGGAGGAGAAGTCTATTCAGAGAATTATTGCAGGACCAGTTTACACAGTTGTGGGGAACTGGGCAAGTCCAAGATCCACAGGACAGACCACTGTCAGGAGGGGCAGCTGGAACTCTCCGCACAGCCCAAGCTGCAGCCCAGAGCGGAATCCACTCCCTCAGGGAAGCCTCACTCTGCGCTGGGACTCTTTAGCAGACGGATCTAGCTCAGTCACATTATCCAGCATGACCTCTATCACTGTCAATGGTTTGTGGACTTTAATCATATCTATAAAATATCAACGTTTGATTGACTATCCGGGGCCTATAACCTAGCTGACACATAAAACTGATCATTGACCTCAGTGTTTGGGCTTGAGGTGATCTTGAAAGGATTTGAGAAATAGAGACTTTGTTCTTAATTGGATTCTGTTAGGAAGTGGGTGCTGGGGTGGGTAGTTCTATAATTGGGCATCTTAATACATTTTACCTGGAAGGAAGGAAGGCGATACTGAAGCTAGAACCCTAATTGGCAGAGAAGCAGCAGTCAGCTCTGGCCGGGTAGTCTCCTCTGGATATGCCAAGGTTGGGGGTTCAGTCTCTGGTCACATGCAAGAAGCAACCAATGAAAGCATAAACACGTGGAACAACAAATCAATGTTTCTCTTATTCTCTCTCTCTCTCTCTCTCTCTCTCTCTCTCTCTCTCAAATCAATCAATTAAAAAAATAATAAAAAGGAGCAGCAGTTATTCACATTACCCTGGAGAGAAGTGTGCTCAGAATCCAATTAAGAACAAAGTCTCTTGGCCGTTTTTGTGGCTCAGACAATGCTCATGTTCTGGTTATTTAGGTCTGTGAGAACCAGCAGGCACACACAGGAGAGGAGATTCTGATTTCTTACCTTCCGTCCTTTCATGGAGAATTCCCTCAGGTCTAGTTGGAGTGGAGGCTGCATCAGAACCTCAGAACCATCGCTTCTCGGCCTTTTGGCTAAGATCAAGTGTAGTATCTGTTCTTATCAGTTTAATATCTGATACGTCCTCTATCTGAGGACATTATATTAAATGTATTTTTGGAGCAGGGAGATGGAATATGAGCTTGCTCCGTCCACTCCACGCATTGACCCGGTATTGCAGTACCTCTGGGAATGGTGCACCAAAAAAAAAAAAAAGAACCAGTCCCTGCTAGGCCTCCTAGTACACACTCTTCAGCTGGCAACATAGGTGTCATCACAGGGGGTGGTTTCTGATTGGCTACAACCTGACCTGCAGGGTGTGGTTTGGGTGTTTTTAGATTTCTTCCTCAGCTTGGTCCTCATCATTGCGCTAATACTCAGAGCAGCAAATGCTGAGACCACCTTGAGAAGAAGATGACCCGAAATAGAGCCCTGATTTGGGGGGCCCTCACCCTGACCACCTTGCTGAGTCGTTGTGGAGGTGAAGACATTGTGGGTGAGTGCTCTGCTGAGTCACATGGGGACTGGACTGGGGAAACAGAGTTGGAGGATAAAATAGAGATTTGCATAGAAATAGTAGCCATTCCTCAAAGGCATCCTCAATATTAAGCAGATCCAACAATTATGATCCTTCCTCCTTTGGGAAACCAGAGTCCCCATCCAGTCTCTGCTACCTGAGCCGTTGCACACTGCACCACGACCATCATCCTGGTCCTAATGTTGGATCCATGAATATAGCCCAGAGGCTCTATGGCATCCATGTGTGATTGCCTCAAAGATTAGGGGTGTTTTCACAAGTGGATGTTCTGTTACTAAAATTCATGAACCATTGCTTCCAAATTTTTCTGAACAACTTTTGGAGCTTTATGAATATTTCTCCTGTAGTTTACCTTGCGGTAAAGAGTTTCATGAAACATGTGTACTATGTAGATATAAACAAGGGTTCTTTGCTTTATCTCAGATTCACATACATTTGCAAGCTGAGAACTGGCATGAGTGGGGAATGGGAAAACAGCCCAGTGAGGGTCTTCAGACAAGTCATTTTATCATGTGGTTTTCATTTCATCTCAGTTACCGCTTATGTGTCACCTTACAAAAAATCAAATAAAGTAGGTTTCAGGTGTGCTTCCCAAGTAATGAAGACCATTAAATGTCAATGATATTTTAAAATCACTACTACTACAGGTATAGCTGTATAATTTTTCTTTAACAAAGTAGGGAATATCTTTACTTTTATTTTAAAATTGAAAACTTTATGATGAAACTTGGTGAATTAAATTACATTAGTCTCAAACGGTCAGCCCAAAAGGCCTGTCCTTTACCACATCTAAGGAAGCTCTGCAAGGAAGATTGTGCATCCAATCATGGTTTGGTCCCCTGGGCTACTCCGCCTCTGTTGCTCACCTTTCCACCCTCTCTTCATCATTCCTTTCATTCCAGGATCCTTTCTTTCCAGCATCTATTCCTACTTCTTTTTCCTGTTGTTTTATTGGCATGAAGAGTAGGTTCATAAAAGCCAAGTAGAAAAACCAAGCACTGTAGTCCAAAGGGAAATGAACTAAAGGTTACTCTGATCTTCAATGATGTTATTAACTACTAGAGTCCCAATGCACGAATTCGTGTAAAGGTGGGGGTCCCTCAGCCTGGCCAGGGATAGGGCTGCTCAGGGCCATCTCGCCCAGTCTCAGTCAGGGCCAATCAGGGCTGGCCTGCCTGGGGGAGGGACCAAAAGAGATTGGCTGTGGGAGCACACTGATCACCAGGGGGCAGCTCTTGCATTGGGAGTCTGCCTCCTGGTGGTCAGTGCGCATCATAGCAACCAGTTCACCAGTCGTAACAGTCTCTTAGGCTTTTAAATATATAGATGGCTGCTCCCAAGTTTTCTTGGTTTGGTAGGAAAGTTTTGTCTGTTTCTCCAGAGCACGTCCAAGTCCCCTTTTCTCAATGTCACTCCAGAGTACCCTGGTCTGTCTTGACGTACACCCCACAGTGGGCAAAGGGCCAAGGGCCCACAATGCCTACAGGGCCCCATAAACATGTTTTACTTTCTTCTAAAATTAGAAGAAAAAATGAACTTTTAGAGTAGAAGAAACTAGTTTAATTTAGCCTGGATTATACTTGCCTTTGTACCAATATGGTCATAAAAATTTTTAATAAAAGTTTTTCATAAAAGTTTTTAATATTTTTATGGAAAAATAAAGGCCCCTCCTAACAACAGTGCTTAGGGCTCAGGAGTCATAATGCAACCATCACTACTGAGTCTAACTTTCACAGGATGCTGCTACCTTCGTGTCTGTCAGTCTTCCCCAAATCTCTGTCGTCCTGGAGAATAGCGCTGACATTTGCTACACAGTTTGAGCACCAGGAGCTCAGTGCTGGGACTCAGATGAAGAAACATGCTGTCTGCTCCAGAAGGAGCTCAGATTAGCGATAGGACAACCTGGTACCCAGAGCAGGGCAGCTGCTGGGCAGGACAATGGGCCCAGCGAGGCTGAAACTGAAAGTGAGTAGTTCCAGCTGGCATAGTGAGGTCCTTCAGCAGCAGCATGCAGCCAGGACACATGCAGATGAAAAGGATAATCACATATATTCATGTTGGAAATGGAATCAACAGGATTCATTGCAAGAACATGGAGGCTTTGATGGAGGGCCTTGGAAGTGGCCAGCCAAGGGGGTCATGCTGGGTGAGGGTGAGGACTAGATAAACTTGCAAGAGGACATCTGCATGGAAGGGCTGGAGATCATAGTGTGGTCAAAATTATGCTTAATGAGAAGACTTAGCTAAGAAGTTGGTAACTAAGCAGAAACGTCAAGAATGAACTAGAGGTGTCCAGGAAATCCTAGAAGATAATTTGAGGGAGGAAAACAGACCCTTGTAAAGACAAGGAGCATGAAAGGGTGACGTCTGGTTTGATTAGCAGGTGAGGTATTTGTGGAGGACTCAGCACAGTACACCTATTGGCTCCTTACTCCCCTGACTCCCCTATTCATGAAGCTCCTCGCTGGCAGAGACTGTGCATGGTCCGTGTGTTACTCCTCTCACCTCACAATGTCTGAAACCTTGTTGATGGTCAGGAATTTGGAAGGGAGGGAAGAGGAAATGGTAAAAGGCTCAGACAAGTCGTCCAGTCAGGCCCACCTGGGAGTCAGCTGCACTGGCTGCCTCTGCTTTGGCGTCACACCAAGTCCACTGTCCATGCGAGGGAAGGGCCAGAGTTTTCCTTGAGTCCTCCACAAGGTAAGTGTTGATTCAGAAAAAGGAGAGGCTTAGGGACGTCCTTCAAGATAAGAAGAGGGTGGGAAGTGACAGGAATCCAAAGTGTAATGGAGTTTCCAGTTTCATTTCAGAGGAAACCAGGTGCTCTCCCCTAAGGACCAGCCTGTTACAGAAGCAGAGATCTTAGCCCTGGATGGTGTTCTCAGTGGTTAGAACATCAGCCTGCACATGAAAAGATCATTGGTTTGATTCCTGGTCAAGGGCAGGTACCTGGGTTACAGGTTCATCTCCAGAGCCATGTGTGGGAAGCAACCAATCAATCTAAGAGGTTTCTCTCTCTTTGTCTCCCCTCATCTTCTCCCTCCCACTCTCAATAAATATACTCAGGGCCCTAGCCAGTTTGGCTCAGTGGATAGAACATCAGCCTGCAGACCAAAGGGCATGTACCTCAGTTGCAGGCTTCTCCCCAGTCCGGGCCCTGGTCAGGGCAAGTACAGGAGGCAACCAATCTATGTGTTCTCTCACATCAATATTTCTGTCTTCCCATCTCTCTTCCATTCTCTCTCTCTTTCAAAAAAAAAAAAAAAAAAACAATGGAAAAATAATATATATATAATCTCCTTAGGTGAGGATTAAAAACATACTCACACATAAACAGAGACCTTAGAAGCATGTTTACTTTTGTGTTTTGTAATATTGTCATTGTCCTTATCATGCTCTTTCTTTTTTTAAAATATATTTTTATTGATTTCAGAGAGGAAAGGAGAGGGAGAGAGAAATAGAAACAGCAATGATGAGAGGGAGTCATTGATCAGGCTGCCTCCTGCACTCCCCCTACTGGGGATCAAGCCCACAACCGGGGCATGCACCCTGACCAGAAATCGAACCATGACCTCCTGGTTCATAGGTTGATGCTCAACCACTGAGCCACGCTGGCAGGGCTCATGCTCTTTCTTATTCCCTAAAATAGAGGCAATTCTTTTAAAATAATATGTGTGCTTTTGTTGGTTAAAAAAATAAAAGGAGGAAGGAATCCTTGTATAGCACATGTTCTGTTCTGAGCCAGTCCTGAGGGGAGAGGACTCACAATGAATGTGTTATTAACCAATGAAGAAATTGAGAGAGAAAACTTATGAAGCTGAAAGAGGTAAACTGAATCTCTGGAAAGAAAGCTAAGGCCGCCAAACTGGTTTGGCTCAGTGGATAGAGCATCGGCCTGCGGACTGAAAGGTCCCAGGTTCGATTCCAGTCAAGGGCATGTACCTTGGTTGCAGGCACATCCCCAGAGGGGGATGTGCAGGAGGCAGCTGGTCGGTGTTTCTCTCTCATCGATGTTTCTAACTCTCTATCCCTCTCCCTCCCTCTCTGTCAAAAATCAATAAAATATATTTTTTAAAAAAAGAAAAGAAAGCTAAGGCCATGGTCGTTCATTCATTCCTTGTTCCGCCCATTTCAGTATTTATCTTAAGCCCAAGAGGTGCCAGGCGCTGAGCTAGGTGGACAGAGAACAGCAGTGAACAGGCCTGTGGAATTCTGTTCCTGAGACAGGAGCAGCCATCAGAGTGGAGAGGCAGCTGGATTCTAACAGGACAGCCAGGGGCGGGAGCAGGCGCTGGGGACTGTCTGCAGGCTGTGCCTAAGGAGCAGCCCACAATGTTTCTTGTCACTTTGTTTAACGAGATCCTTTCTCTCCTGTTTTGCACCTCCCTGCTCCCACCTCACTCATCAGCTGACCACGTTGGGGCCTATGGCATAAATGTCTACCAATCCTACGGTCCCTCGGGCCAGTACACCCATGAATTTGATGGAGACGAGGAGTTCTACGTGGACCTGGACAAGAGGGAGACTGTTTGCTGGCTGACTGGGTTCAGTGAATTTAAATATTTTGACACTCAGACTGCACTGATAAACATGGCTATATTCAAATACAACCTGGACCTCCTGATTAAACGCTCCAACTCTACCGCTGCTCCCAATAGTAAGTGTCCACCATCTTGTCTCTTTACTGACTCTACCCTTCACCAGGCCTCACTCCCTTCTCGCCTCAGATACATACCCTTCACTCTATAAATGCTCTCCTTTCCAAGGAGTCCCAGATCTTCTCATGGAATTTGCTGAATCCTCATCCTCTCCCTCCTTACAAATCATCTATTTCCATGAAATACAGATTCTTGCTCCCACACTGCAATCCTCAACTTCTTAAAGGATGGGTCCCGTAGACGTCTTACCCTAACAAGGGGCCCACAGAGAGAAGGGCATGGGGATGACGGGCGGGCAGTGTACAGCGGCTCGCAAGCAGAGGGAACAAGAGCATCTCTGCTCTCCAATGGGGAAACGTTGCTGGGAGGTCCCTCCAGGAGGCAGGGACCCTCAGGGCAGAGCTGCGCACGATTCTAAACCCAGTGCTGTTTCCTCACCGCAGAGGTTCCTGAGGTGACAGTGTTTCCCAAGGCTCCCGTGGAGCTGGGCCAGCCCAACACCCTCATCTGTGCCGTGGACAACATCTTCCCTCCTGTGATCAACATCTCGTGGCTGAGCAACGGGCACTCAGTCACACAGGGTATTTCTGAAACCAGCTTCCTGTCCAAGAGTGATGATTCCTTCCTCAAGTTCAGTTACCTCACCTTCCTCCCTTCTGCTGACGATGTCTATGACTGCAAGGTGGAGCACTGGGGGCTGGACCAGCCACTCCTGAAGCATTGGGGTGGGTATGAGCCCTGCCTCGACCTGCACAGCAGTTCAGCATAACCTGCAGGAAGGCCAATAACACACAATGAATGCACTGTATAAGAAATATGGATTTTGAAGGCATTGGGGGGCCAGGTGGAAACCTCTTTGCAAGAAGAGGAACCAGAAGTCTGGGTCCTGCCTGCTTTTTATTCAGTTTGATTACACATTTGCCTTTAGCCATGCATGCAGGCCGATCAAAGGTAAAGTCTGGTAAACAATTTAAAGATGATCAGGTCAGGAAATCTTCCCGAGCCATGGCCATAACAGCAGGAGCAATCTATGCTGATTCAGCCCTGCTGAGATTGAGGTCCCTCTGCCTTCCAGTGTCTTTTTTGCACTTTCATGCTAATGCTGCTATGCTTTGGCCTCCAGCAGAGCCCCATGCCTTTTGGTGCCTTCTTTCCTCTGTCAAGCCTGAACATCTGCCCATGATCCCCTAACTCGTGGCCCTAAAACTAACACTTTAAGGGTTTCTAATGATAGACTTGCACCCTCTCACTAAGCCCCATGCCCCACATCTTTACAGAACCAATCCTCACCATTCCACCCCATATACCTGCACAGCAACTCTTTCTCTATTCTGATCTCCACAACCTCACACCCACAGAGCCTGAGATTCCAGCCCCCATATCAGAGCTGACGGAGACTGTGGTCTGTGCCCTGGGGCTGGCCTTGGGCCTCATGGGCATCATCATGGGTGCCATCTTCATTATCCAGGGCCTGTGCTCAGGTGGTATCTCCAGACAGCAAGGGCCCTTATAAAGGGAAGGTAAGTATTCAGATATATAAAAGCATAAGGAAGGAAAGTGGGAGGAGGCTGTGGACACAAGTGTGGTTGAAGAGCAGAATTGGGAAACAGCATAATGGTAGCACAGGAACCCCTAGATCTCATGTCTGTGTCGTTGCAGGTGCATTGCCATCCACAAGCAGAGAGTGGACATGCTGGATGGCAGCACTATTTCCTGGCTACGTTCATCACATCACTTCTCGCTTCCTACACTCATCCTCTCACTTCTTCTCTGTGACTACAGGTGCTGTAGCCCCCTCAGATCTCACATACCTCTCAGAATTCTCTCCCAAACTCTTGAATTTTTTCTCAGTTGTTACCTATTGTGGGATTCCTGGGGTATCCATCAGATATCTAATCCCTCAGTGACCTTGAACTAATATCTCTGTGGGAGGACAAACCCCCTTTATGACGTCTTGACTGAAAATTTTCCTGTCGTTTATCTCAGGACTGACTATGACGATGGCCCATTATGCTCCAGGCCCATTTAATCTCATTTCCCAGATCAGGTTTCATGCCTAGTAACACAAAAGAAAGCAAGTATAGTCTGATAATATTTTTATATCTTAACTGAAGTTAATTTTTCTCTCTTCCTTTTGCTCCCACCTTTGGCCACTGCCCCACCCCACCCCCAATTCAGGCATCAATGAAGGTACTATATACCTTCTGTCCTTTATGTAGATTTGTTACAGCAGAAATACAAAAACAAATAAATCTGTATTCATTTTAATATAGCTGTTAAAACTTATGACAGAGAAATAAGTTACCAGAAAGAAATTTTTAATCTCAAAAATAGCAGTAGTCAATATTTGTTCCCCAAACTTTAAATTTGTGAAGAATAAATAATGTTAGTAAAAGCTTTCTTCTCCCTCCACACCCTTGAGGAGATAGCAATTCTCTAGGCAGGAGAAAAATGGAAGTTAGTTAGGAGGGCATTGGAATGACGCAATAATGAGGTATCTGAGGACCAAGTGTTTTGTCCTTACTTAGGGTTAGTAACAACTGGGAAAGGGGTGAGAGTAGAAACCATGATCCCTAGGGAGTAGAAAACAGGGTCCCTAGGGTACAGGTGTAGCTTGCCTCACCTCCTGGATGAGTCCTGCTGGCTAACCTGTGGATTTTCCTGTGCCGCCCTGGCATGTGAGGGACCGAGGCTCAATATGGATGCATGGTGTGTCCAGGCAGGTAAGCCCAATCATTCTCACTGAATCCCTGTGCACCTGGGAGCAGCAGAACAGCACCTGGCTAAGGAGCTGGAGCCTGAGAGGAAGAAAGCGCCCCAGTGCACAGGGATGAGATAATGCAGTGGTGGGTGCTGGACCTTCTCTGGATTCACTGTCTCCCAGTGGAAACCCTGGCAGGGAGAGGGACCCACAGAGGGATGCTCTGGCGTTGCGGGTGCACCCAACACTTCACACCTGAGAGTGTATGTAATCTGGTTTGGCGACATCCTGCCCTTTGAAACTGAGTTCCCCACATTGCCTCAGTCTTTCCGCCCCGCATGACTGCTCCACACATTGCACCCAGGATGGCGCGATGGAACAGCCACAGGGGTATGAGGCTGCCCCTGTCTTGCCATCTGCCTCTGGGAGCTTAACATGTAACTGGGAGTCAAAGAATAACTGATGCAGCATAGTTCAGTACCAAGACACCTAAATCCAAATCCAGGACTCAGCATGTTATAGCTGGTATTTTAAACTTCATAGCACTGCGTAAAGCAGCTGACATGTCTGTGCCTTTTTTCTTATTCATACGTGGGGGAAATAATACTTTCCTTGCAGAGTTATTGACAGAATTTTAATAACTTGATATGTAGGCACTGCTTTACATACAGTATACAAATACATAGGAAAATACTGCTAGTTATATCCATCATCAATAGCTCTATTTTTATAATTTATTTAATGTTTCAACTACAGTTGGCATACAACATTATATTAGTTTCAATGTGCACAAATTCATGCACATTGAAAGAAAATTAATTAGAATAGTTTAATATTACTGTTTGCCCTTTCTCTATAATAGAAATGTCAACCAAATTTACTATCGACAATGACAGATGGAAAAACATTTGTGCAGTTGGCACCAGTGAGAGCTTTATATATAGAGAGATAAACTTGCTTAATTAGACCTGCTTTCTGATTTAGCTAAACTTTTTCTAGCCCAGTGAAGCATGCCAACTTCTCTTTCAGGTAATTGTCAGCAACACAGCAGTAAATATCAACATGAAGCAGATTATTATTGTAGATCATGCAGGGAGAACAAAGGGTAAAATATTTAACTGCAGCAGTATTTGACTATATTCTGCATAGTGAGAAAACCTGAAGTCATTTTCAAGTTCCACCATTTCTTACTTCTTTTCAGTAGGGTCAAGTTTCTAAGCTTTCTAAATCTCCATTTTCTGGCTAATGAAAAGAAAATAGGATTTCACTGCGTCTCCTACCTACCTACTCCAGGACTTCTGTGATGATCAAATGAGATGAGGCACAGGAAAATGCTTCACAGACATCAGCACCTGGTTATAAAGCAAGTCGTGTTCCTAGCCTGAAGAAACGCCAAAGATGCTAGTTGCGAGGGAGAGGAAGCCAGGCATTGCTATATGACATCATTACCTGGTGCCCAGAGCAACTGTTTCTGGGCTGGGCTGGGTTGTGGGCCGCATTTTGCACCATGGGGTCCTGGCAGTGTCTGCTGCAATTTGGTGGGGTGTCACTCCAGAGTGGTGGGGGGCCTGTGTCCCATTTGGGGGAAGCCAAGTGTTGCTTTGTCACATTGAGCATCTGGCCCTGGTGGTCAGTGTGTGTCATAGCAACCAGTTAGACAGTCAGAGGGACACTTAGCATATTAGTCTTTTATATATATACTAGAGGCCCGGTGCACAAAAATTTGTGCACTCGGAGGGGGAGCGGGGGGGTCCCTCAGTCCAGCCTGTGCCCTCTCACAGTCTGGGACCCCTCCGGAGATAACGACCTGCTGGCTTAGGCCTGCTCCCAGGTGGCAGAGGGCAGGCCCAATTCCTAGGTGCAGCCCCTGGTCAGGCTCAGAGCAGGGCCGATTGGGGAGCTGGGGCGCCGCCCCCTGTCATGCAAAGGGCAGGGCGGATTGGGAGGTTGCGATGCCACCCTCAGTCACGCTCAGGGTAGGGTCGATTGGGGGGTTGGCACACCGCCCCCTGTCACACTCAAGGCAGGGTCGATGGGGAGGTTGCAGCACCACCCCGTCACCCACAGAGCAGGACCAATCAGGGGGTTGGGGCGCCACCACTGTCACACTCAGGGCAGGGCCAATGGGGAGGTTATGCCTCTACCCCGTCACCCACAGAGCAGGGCCAATCAGGGGGTTGGGGCACCGCACCCTGTAACACACAGAGCCGCAGGGTGATCAGGGGGTTGGGGAGCTCCCCCAATCAGGCACAGAGCAGGGCTGATCAGGGGGTTGGGGTGCCTTCCTCTGTCACAAACAGAGCAGGGCAGATAGGGAAGTTGTGGCCCCGCCCCCTGTCACACACAGAGCCGCAGGGCAATCAGGTATTTTTGGGTGCTGATCCGGTGCCAGGAGGCCTCGTGGCTCTGCTGATCCCAGTGCTGGGAGGCATATTCCCCTTTTACTATATAGGATAGAGGCCTGGTGCACGGGTGGGGGCTGGCTGGTTTTCCCTGAAGGGTGTCCTGGATCAGGGTGGGGGTCCCGACTGGGGTACCTGGCCAGCCTGGGTGAGGGGATGATGGCTGTTTGCAGCTGGTCACACACCCTTCAGGGTGGGGGTCCCCACTGGGGTGCCTGGCCAGTCTGGGTGAGGGGCTGAGGGCTGTTTTCAGGCTGGCGGGTGACTGAAGCTCCCAACCGCTCCTTTTTTTCTTTTCTTTTTTTATTCTGGGCCAGCTTTAGCTCTGAGGCTTGGCTCCAGCTCTGAGGCCTCAGCTGCTGAAAGCAGGTATCTGGTTTGTTTGGGTTCTATAATTGAAACACTGTTTCAACTCCAGCTCTGAGATCCCGGCTGGCTGAAAACAGGTTTCTGGGGTTTTGTTTAGCTTCTATATTTGTAACAATGTTTCAAATTGCAAGCTCAGAGGCTGGCAGCAGCAGGCGGGGAACGTTGGAGTCCTCCATCACTGAAGCAAGCAAGCCTCACGTTCGCTTCAAGCTGCCTGGCTGCCGGCCGCCATTTGGCTGGCAGTTAATTTGCATATCGCCCTGATTAGCCAATGGGAAGGGTAGCGGAGGTACGGCTAATTACCATGCTTCTCTTTTATTAGATAGGATATAGATTATAGACTATATATACCCTATTATGCATTTTATATCCCATGATTTTTTTTATAACTGGAAATGTGCACATCTTAATCCCATCCTCTTTTTCAACCATCTCCCCAAGCCTCCTCCCATCTAGCAACTGTCAAAATGTTCTCCTTATCTGTGAATTTGTTTCCACGTTGTTTGTTCACTTACTTTGTTCATTAGATTCCACAAATAAGTGGAATCACATGGTATTTGTCTTTCTCTGTCTGACTTATTTCATTGAACATAATACTCTCTAGTCCATCCATGTTGTCACAAATGGCAAGATTTCATTCTTTTCATGGCTGGAATAATATTTCATTTTATATATATGTACCACATCTTTATCTAATTTACTTTTAATGGATCATATTACATAGAAAACACTTTTGTTTTTCTGAGCCCTTCAATAATTTAGGAGATTCAAATGTGGAGCCATGGATGAATATCTTTTCATATGTTAATTAGATTATTTTTTCCCTCTTGGGACAAGAGGCTGAGATTGGGTTAAGCTGAGCAAGTAGAGAGGGTAGAGCAATTAGTAACATTTCATTGTTGAAGGGGTTGCTAAAAAATCTGATATGGCAAGAAGTTGTAGTATTTGACCTTGGGTTTTACTCCAATGAAAAATATGCTCTCTTCTTATAACCCATAAATTTTTAGTTAAGTACTAGTATACTATATGCAAGAGAGCTATATACAACAGATTTTTAAGTTTGTTTACTTTGGAAAAGAAATACAGAAGATTCAAGGAGAAAAGCTACCTATGAGATAGAAGTAAGAGAGTAATTAAAAATGCAGACTAGGAATTAGTACATGCAGGGACTCTGAACCAGAAATAATCCTGATAATGTGAGTAACAGCACACAGGAAATGTTTAGGGCAATGAAAATACTCTGTGTGACACTATGATGGTGTGTACATGCCATTATACATTTGTTCAAACATAAAGGGCGAACCCTAATATCAACTGTGAACTTCGAGTATAATTATGTGTCAATGTAGGTTCATCAGTTGTGACAAATGCACCACCCTGGTAGGGGATGTAGATAATGGGGGAGGCTGTGCATGGTGGGAACAGAGGGTGTATGGGAATCTCTGTATCTTCCACTCAATTTCATTGTGAACCTAAAACTTCTCTAAAATAAAGTGTATTTTTAAAAGACCAGCAATTATGATCTCAAATGTATAAAATAAACATTTTAGTATATGAAATGTAAGTCAGCTAAAAACACACAAATATACTTGAGAGATTTTGTAATAGGATTTTGAATAAATTTCAATGATTCAAAAAGTAAGAACACAGCATTTTGGAGGTGGTGGTGTGTGTGTTACTGTAATATAAGAATTATATTGAATGGCATTATTACCAGTGTCCCAGAAACACACAAATCTGCCCTACTCAGACTCCTTCCCCTTGAAGTACTGAGGAAAGCAAAGTTAATGGTAGTTGCATTTCATTAAAGGGATTCATTCATAAGTTTTTATATAAGTTTAAAATAGCATAATTTAAAA